AGACGGACCATCTGCGGAAGATGATGGATTTGAGCCGGCAGTCGCGGCTGCGAACGAATCGAACCTCCAAGCTAGACTGGGTACACTACGTCGGCCGGTTGATATGGTGGGGAGGGTTCCTCTTACAGATGAGCTGGCACCTCAAGGGTCTCATGGAGATCATCATTAGCCAAAAGGACAGCGAGAGCGGCATGTCAGACCCGGAGGACGAAGGGGGATGGCAATCTCTGACAGGGCGAGTCCTCAACATGCTGCCACCAGACCAGGCTTTGTTACGGTTTAGTCTTTGGGCAGGGCTCTTTGTTGCATGGTGGAATCCACAGCTCGTTAAGGTGGTCCGTGGATTCACCAGGCACTTGCTAGGGTTGAGACAATGGTACTGTTTCCAACTGCTCATTGTCGTATTTCGCCTGGGCGTGATGAAATTAGTTGTTTTGGACGGGCAGCCGAAAAATGCCCAACTCAGTGCGCATCTGGTCATGGCTGGTGCCATGTCACTGGTAGGTTTTCCTTTGTCTTGGACAAGTTATTTATAGGAGTTCGATACTAACTAGCGATAGCTTTACACTCTGGCGCTGCGTGCTATCAAGGTAGACACCACGCCTCTCTTTGGAGGGAGGGCACCCGTGAGCCCACCCAGGCCAGATGCTCCGCTGGTTCAGCAGAGATCTTCGGAGCCCAAGGGATTTGCAGAAATGCTCAACGAAGCATTAGATTCTCCAAATACAACACCAACGAGGAAGCCCATGATACACTCGCCCCAAGTCACACCAGCACCTATGCAACCACAGAGCCCATTTCTCTCTTCCAGCCGCTTCCGAAGTGCTGTCTCTCAGCAATTCGGAACACCCAACACGCAAGCTTACGATGCCAGTGATGAGATGGACTGGACCCCGACAGTGGAGTCGTCACCACCTCGGGCGCTTCAAGGGTCACCCACGCCTGCAGTAAGGGGGTTCGGCCAGGGACCTACGAGCTCTCTGAGGAGCTTCGGGCAGGCGCCTACAAACACCGACAGCGGTGCGTTCTGGTACAAGGTGCCGCCTGCACCACTCAACCCAGCCCACAAACTACGAAACCCGCCGAACCAACCGGCGCTCATTGCGAAACCAAAGGAGACGGGGGAGAACATCTTCTTCCGCGGGGCTGCCGCCAAGCGAGGCGATAAGCTGAAGGGCGGGTCTCGCGACGGGGGTGTGACGTTCAACCAGCCCAAATTCTTTGCTCCCGGTAAGGAGAGCGACGAGACCAACAGCTTGGCTGATATGCTCGGCCAAAGCTTCAGCCTCGGCTCGGGGGAGACGGAGCTGGATGCGGGCGAGGGCACGCAATCTGAAAGGCTTGCCGCCCTCCGTTCCGAGAGCCAGCGGCAGCAGAGAACGGCCGTGGAGATCATCGTTGTTGGCGGTATTGTGGTGGTATGGCTGCTCATGCTGACGATGCCTGTTGCGCACGTGTGCGAGATCCAGCTCGTTCTGCTCGGCCTCGCGTCCGCCGTGGGGATTTACGCCTGCAGGACCAGAGCGGCGGCTGGCCTCGTCGTCGCCGGTATCGAGTTGGCGGGCCTGGGGTATGCCGGCTGGGGCGCCTGGAGAGGGGATGCGACCGAGGCGGGCTGCGCGGGTATAGGAGTGCTGTTCGTGATGCTCGGCCACCTGGTCTGGGATATGTTTTCGTAACGGTGGGCTTGTGTCTTGGATAGGCGCTGTATGGTTTGATATTTACAGCATCTTGTTTTGGGGTTTTTTTCTTTTGCGGCAATGGAGACGGGACTACAAGGGCGACGGTTCGTTAGACGTGTTTTTATGGCGTTGCGAGACCTTGGTATAGGCTGTACAGCACATCATCTGGTAGAAATTACAGGAAATGTTCACATTGATAAGATAAACCAAAATACAGCATGAATTCTCTTTTCCTTCTATATAAACTCTCTCAACTACATTATAAGTAGGAAATCTACGACCGACCCAGACACTTCTTGTAAGCATCCATGTCCAACACAGACCACACCCTCACAATCTTCCCCCCCTCGAGGAAGTAAAAAGCATGCTCGTGGAACTTGACCTCCTCCCCGTTATCCCCGGGCTCGACGCCGCGGAAGGGACGCACAGGCTGGCCGGTGAACTCGATCCGCGAGGCGACCTGCTGCTTGGCCTCGTCGGCGACGAGGTCGACGACGTTGAAGTGCAGGCCGCGGATGTCCTCGAACGAGGACTCGATGAGGTAGATGTAGCTGGGGATGTCGAGCGCGCGGGTGTTGTGCGTGAGATTCGGCTGGCAGGAGCGGGGGAAGTGCTCCTCCATGGTGTGGGTGTTTATGGAGGCGATGTAGTCGGTGTAGAAGGACGTGAGGTCCTGGACAGCGGTGGTAGCCTCCGGCGTCGGGGTTGGAGGGGAGAGGGCGATGGGGGATGATGAGGCCTCGTCGGCGAGGGAGCGTATACTTGTGATCTGGGGGGATGGCTGGGGGGAGAAGTGGACGAAGACGTATTCTGGGTGTTGTTGGTGGCCTTGGCCGGAGTGGTGGATGAGCCTGGCTGCCACGGCGGGGGTTTGGCTGCTCACGATGAGCATGTCGACCACGATGTCTTGCGTGTCGGCCGTGGCCTTGAGTAGCCCGTTCAGGTACTCCTGTTTCCCGACCTGCTGGCCATTATGGTTGAGGTCTGCTGCGAGGAGCGTGGAGATGGCGTTCTCGTCATGCTGCTTGATGCCGGCCACGAACGAGCGGAAGGCCTGCTCAAGCTCGGGCTTGGTTGCTGTGTGAGATGTCATGTTGTGTGATTGAATTGGGGTCTTCTGGATGAGTATAGATTGCTCGCTTGTTGACATTCACCAACGCGAGGATTGGGCGTTTTTCTCCTTTGTTGCGCCCTTCACTCGACATCGAGAGCTTCCCACTGAAGCAGGTCTGTGACATCAGCCCCAGAATCAGGCAGGGATATTGCTGATCTCGGGCTATTTCGTGAATTTTCCAATTCCGGGACCATTCTGCGATGAGATACAAGATGGCTTTCACTCAACTCAGTTGAACTACCTACCTAGAGCGACTCCGCGATGGGCAAGGCCGTGGTTCATCACCAACTATTGTCTTGCCCCGCCATGTCTCAGGATGGAGGGACGGAAACCGCCGGCGTTGCTCCCAAACGGCCGCGAAAACGCATAAACGCGCCAAGAGCACGAGCTGCGCACCCCTGCAAACTGGCTACGTCATCTGGGGAAGAGGGGCTGGAGCTTGTCGCGATGGATTCTGGTGATGCAGGCGGACGAGGGGTTGCGATTGATGTGGTATGATTTTTTAATTGTGGCCTTTTTTTTCGCTAGGAAGACAGCTGTAAAAAGAGGGACAGTAGTTTAATCAACAAAAAAAAAACATGAGGGTATGAATAAAAGCCAGACCAAGCAAAGCATCGTCGTAGAATCGTCATGGGCATCTCCCGCCCCATTCCAGGCACCTATCGAATAGCCAGAACGACCAAATACAATATCCATCTGCCGACTGACGTATATTGAAAGCGATGAGAGTGAAAGGAGAGAAACAAAGCAGAGTGACTATTACATACATCCCATCCTAGCTAGAGATGTAGTTGATGAGCGAGTCGACAATGGACCGCCGCCTCTCCTCCTGGTTGACGACCAGACTCAACGCCTTGACCATCTGCGCGTCCGTGGCGCTGCTGGGCGGCAGCTCGACGGGGCCGAGGTCGTGGAAGCCCAGCCCGGAGAAGAAGATGTAGCCAAAGGGCCCGCCGAGCGCGGTGAGCACGCCGCCCTTCTGCTTGGCCTTGGCCATGTACGAGTGCACCAGGTCCTTGCCGTACCCGCGGTTCTGGTGGTCGGGGTGCGTGGCCAGCAGCTGGAGGTACGTGTGCTGGGGGTAGCGGCTAAAGACGTCGGCACGGGCCTTGCGCAGGACCTCGATGTACGCGCGCAGCCGGTCGTCCTTGATGGGCGTCTGGGGTTGTTGAGCTATAGTTTCTGTCAGCATTGCAGGTCTGGTCTGGGTGGAAAGGTGCTTGGCTATGTATGTACCCTTCTTGTCCTCCTCTGAGGCGGCCGACATGTCCCACACGGCGACGGCGACTATCTGGGCCGGCGCGCCCTTCTTTGCCAGGTCGACGACCTCGATGACCCAGTCCTTGTTGGAGGGGTCGAGGTGCTCCTTGAGCAGGTTCTCGATCTCGGCAAGGTAGCTCTCGTCCTGGCCGCCCTTGGCTGGGACAAAGTTTGTCCACAGGCGCTCCTTGTTGATGGCGGCGAGGATGCACTTGACGACGGCAGGCAGCTCGTCGGGCTTGGCCTGGCGGATGGTGTTGGTCATGGCGAATTCTGCTTTATGTCTATCTGGTATGAGATGCGACAGTCGAGTAATTGAATTGGGGTGATTGCTGTATCGTTAACACGGCGCAAGAAAATGCAAAGGTGGTGGCGATGACGAAGGAGATGGCCCCAACCCTGGGTGAGCTTGATGGGCGGGCCTTCTTATACACAGCAGTGACAGCACAGGCGTGACTGCAGATCAGAAGAGAAAAAACATGGAGACGATAAACGGGGCGAGGAGCCACCAAGCAGCAGGAAGGAGGGCCACAGGTACCATCGGTAGGCGAGGCAGATGTAGGAGGTGCAGGAGGCGGAGGCAGCAGCTGACCTCGAAGCCATTCTCGCCAAGGCAGGGACATGGCCACTCCCACGAGGAAAATTTACCAACAAGACAAAGGCCTGGACCTCTAACTTTTGGTTATCGCTAGGAACAGGCCATGCCTTGGCCCATCGTTAACTCAATCTCGACCGACCTGGGCTGCTCTGCCTGCCCTTGGCAAGGTGGGAGGATTCTGGTAGGAGGGGATATGTTCGCCATCGTTTCTACATGGCTCGTCTACTCCAGCACATTCAGGCAGCTCCATTGAGAGGGCGGGACAAGAGAAAAAAACCCTCCAACGGAAGGGGCCGTGCTACCTGTCTCACGTCTCCCCGCCAAGAACCGCCGTCTCTACCTCGCCTCACCCGCTCTTTTCCTGCCCCAGCCGGTGCATCGGGAGAATTAGCTTGCAAATCCTGGTACGTACATACCGTAGCAGACGCGTGGGTGCGAGAACGTCATGACGTTGCAAGCCCAGCCAAGCCGGCAACTCTGCCGCTTCCTTTTCTTGGCCAGTCTTCCCAGCTGAGGGCAAATGGGCAAGAAGCAATTGGTCTTGTGCCCTGTCCTGTTGTTGTGGGACGGACATTTTGGCGCTAACACTCTAATGGATTCAAGCTTAAATGAGACCTAAAAATTACGGCATGGGGTGAAGATTGTTCTGCATCGCCACATCATGACTGAAAGTGGTCTCGCTGGGCACACTCATCCCACTTCGCTGCCCAGCTTGCCAGCGCTTCGCCGAGATGGCGTGGTCCGTCTATATCTGTATGGTCCTAGGCTTAGCAGGATCTTGCTTCGCATGGTGGCTGCAGCCAAGCGCTCCTCAGGACACCCCTCGCCGTTGAATTTCCGAGACACGAGCTCCCGGGTAAGCTTCAGGCCTTGTTCGTTCACACCACTACGGCAAGGCGACATAAATCGACAAAACACTTGATTGATCCCTGAAAGAAATACGAGGCCGCCACTAATTCCTAGGCTGATGCTCCTCCCGAGTAACATCTATGACCCCATAGTAATCTACCAGAACCTGCAATATGCGTTGCCCGCCTTGCGCAACAAAACCCGCTGACCGACCTTTCGCCTTATAACCGTTTCGCGTCTAGTAATCTGCACATCTCACCCGGCTTCGCCGTCTTCTCTGAGCCAGCCTCAGTACTTCAATATGGGCGATGGCGAGCGTTGCGTCTCTTTTCTGTCCGATCGCCAGCGTTGCGTCTCTGCTCTGCACGTTGTGTAACCGTGCGAGTGCGCAGATTGTACTGAAGCTCGTCTACGGTAGTTGTAAGTTTTTGACCACCCCGACCCGCGGGGTCGTCGGTTGGTCCTCTGGCTCCCGGAGATGGAGGAACTGGGCCCGGGACACTTGAAGGTCGAGCTGGGCTTGGGACAATTGGAAACAGAGCTGGGCTTGGGGCAGCTGGAAATAGACTTGGGGCTGGGGAAACTGGAGGTTGAGCTGGGCTTGTGGCAGCTGTAAATAGAGCTGGAGTTGGGGCAGGGGCAACTGGAAATAGAGCTGGGATTGGGGAAACTGGAGGTTGAGCTGGGCTTGGGGCAACTGGAAATAGAGCTGCGGCTGGGGCAACTGGAGGTTGAGTTTGGCCTTCAAGACCGGCGAGAAAATGAATCATCTGAGTTGCGGATGCTCGTTGCTTGGGGTCTTCAGTGCCCATCGGGTTAAAAAGCGGCCACAGGTTTCTGACCCTCCGCATCACCTGGCACAGGGCTGACAAGCCGATGACCTGCGAGATCTCGCGCTGGGTCGACGGATGCGTGGCAGCAAAAGCGGCAAGGAGGCACCACACGTCAGTCTTGGGGGTCACCAGCTTTGCCGGGTCTGGTTCGTTGTCGTCCCAGAGCTCCGGTGCCCGGAACTGCGCGGGTGGCTTCACAGCATATTTGGAGATGCCGAAATGTGATAGCTGGAAGCCATATTTGTCGATCTCGGCCATGTTTTGCGTCCTGTTGTAGGTATATAGGATCTTTGCTGGCTCAATGCTCCCGTGACTCATATTGTTCTCAGCAAGGTATGCCAGCGCGTCGAGCATTTGGCGCACCATTCTTTGACCAAGGCCATTTGGCCACAGGATTGTCTGTGTTTCAGAAAGATGCAAAATGTCCCCTTCCTTGGGGTCGGTGTAGAAGACGGGTAGGCCTGTCTCGAAGTATCTAGAGCCCAAGCATGAAATTATATTGGGCTGTTTGTTGGTGGTTAGCCATGAGTGGTCTGCTGATTGGGGAGTAGGAGATGGCAGAAGAACTAACGTGTCTATGTTCTTGGAGAAACGCAACTTCTTGACGAATGGCTGATCGAACCTCGTCTTGCCGCGCCCCAAACTTGCCGAGCTTAATCTTCGTAACGATGATAATGTTCCCAGTTGTGTTGTCCAGGGCCTTGTGGACAGCTGTAAAGGGGCTCACATGCTTTGGCCCCTGAGTGTCTAGAAGTTCGCGTATCTGTCGTTGAAGCGCAAGAGCCTGCAGTTGCTCGGGGTTTTTTTCGACCCAGATCAACCAGAACCTGTAACCACAAATGTCTATTAAGTAAGATTGGCCATACACTAGTCCATAGTCTCTCCGGTCTACCCAGTCGTCCGAGTCATCCCAGTCATCCCTACGCGTGGCGAGCCGCGGGGTGGATTTACTGGGTCTGGCGAGCTGCGGGGTGGTAACTCCGCCCATGTGTCTATCACCTACACCCGCGCACGGATCGACCGAGACAGAGGATTTGTCTTTGGATAACACGCGAAGCATCACCTTTCGAACATCCTTGTTTAGTTGGAAGTCCACGTGTCTTGAATATTGGCTTTGATTAAGGATCAGATCCGCGTCTCTTCCGAGACTCGTGATCACGTCTCCCCTCGATATTGAGGGAACGTGATATCCTACCTCTAATCCATCACCTTTGGATGTTGTCGATACGAATTGAGAGTTATCGGGATGGTCTAGTGCGGCTCTTGCTTTTTCATTTATAGGTATTAAATGGAATAAAGTCTGTTGATGAGGCGAACGAACGCCGTAAGATGCTGCCATCTTGAGAATGGCGTTGACGGTGACCGTAAGCTGAGTTGAAGGTTCCGGATACGGAGGTATGCTCGTTGTAATGTATAGAGAGACGAAATGGTAAAATGGCAAATGAGAAGGACGGAAGAAGAAGTTGTTGACACTGAGGATACGGTGTAGAGATGTTTTGGGTTTGGATGCTATCTTGTAAGAAGAGAAGATTGCCACCAGGGCAACGACGGACGGCATTTGGGATTTGACGTCCTCTGCTTCAGCAAGGATGAAGAACGGGCAGCGGCTAGAAAAAGCAATGCGTGCTAATGACGCTCCATCACTAATGGAGGTGACATGTTTTCCGATGCTCCAGCCGCCCCAGTCCCGGGGAGTGGCTGCGACACTTTTCAGTTCCTCCATTGCCGTTTGCTTTCATCTCCTGAATGGTTTGCGCTTCTGCTGATGCTGCAATCTGCAAACAAAAGTCTCCAATACAACATATTTTGGATTGATTTCCCCGGTCAGATTTGATCGCAGCTAAACCCTACCCTTATTTTCGTGATATCAGGCAGGCAGTCTTGGGAAAACGCGTATGAAAAGCCCCCTCCTCCATCATATTTGGCAAGGGTAACAGCGACCTCAATATGACCAGGCCCATGAAAGAGACGAAACAAGCTGACATTTCCACCATTCCATGGCTGTGTGGTAGATGCAAAAAACTGTTAGCTACTCTGAAGATTCAAACAAGCGTCCCACGTTCAGGTCATGGCCTCCCACTGGCGGAGAGCAACTGGCCATCAGTGACTGCCATACAAACGCCTCGTTGGTGATACGGGAAGGGAGCAGCAAGGCAGATCTTCAGATAGCGCGGAGAGGCAGTTCGCTTACCTACCTAGGTATGTGGGCACAGCGCTTCCAGTCAAACAGCAAATGAAATCAGGCACAAATCAAACGGGAATGCTTCGCAAATCAAATAGATCCACTTCTAGAGAGTTTTATTCAATTTACTAATATGTACGATATTTCCAATGTGAGGTTCTGTAGATTTCCTGGGAAACAGGGCTACTGCTGACCGCCTAATATCAATACCTTCATGTTCTCTCGCGGCGCCGGCGGCGGGCCACGCAGTTTGATCAATTGATTGCTCATAGCGAATTAGCTGTGAGAGCCCGCAAAGGAGCTTTTTACAAGCATTACTGTGTTGGGGGAAAAACGAACAACACCACAGCTGTTAGCGAGCTTGAAATGCAGACTGCCAACCACACCAAAATCTAACAACCTTCCACAACAGCTATGAAAAGGAGGCTTTAAGTTTTATATATATTCTCATTTGATCAAATGGATCGCATTTACAGCTAGTCAATTGGCCGATCGTAGCCGCCGTAAGGTTACAAAAGACGCATCTTTCGTAAGAAGGGATTTTCAAAAGCGAAAATAAGAAGGGGTAAAAAGCATATCTTTTTCTACGGATACAGAAAATAGCTAATTTATCTAACCTGGCCGGATTGACAAGTGGGCCCCGACTCATTACTCGTAGAGGTAGGATAAAAATAGGTATAAAAGGTCGTGAGTTGCATTTTCTAAATCTACGGCCAAAGACTGACTTTTATGCTTCCTAGGAACGAAGGCAGCCTCTCAATGCTACTTAAACTCACAGATGGAATGAGAACAGTCAATAGGGTGGCTGAATAATGCTTGTCTTGCACATGGATATCTTTGTAAATGGAATGAATTGTTTATACCTACTACTTCATTATCGTGCAGTACTCGGCATATGCGCCTAAAGCGCGCCCAAGAAAACAGAAACTATCGAGACCTGTGTCTACACATACTCCCCAATAAGCGTCCAAGCTGATCATTGAGCTAACGGTAGAGATCTGCGTGGTCGCGCTTGATGGCATCTGAACCCTTTTCGGCCACCATATAGACAGAGTTTTGAATGCGACAGTCCGGAATGACGGGGATTACAGACGCGTCGATAACACGGAGGTTCTTAATCCCATGCACCTTCAGACTGGGGTCCACGACGCCCTGTTGGACATTCTTGGACAGGCGAGCAGTACCACAGGGGTGAAACGAAGTCTGAGAACGGTCCAAAACGGTTCTCTTCATTGCCTCATCATCATGTAGCGGCATTTCCCACGGATATTCATCCTCAACAATATCCTTGAACCCATCGCCATTCTTGAGAACGTCGTAGGCGAACCTGATGCCTTCGCGAATGGCAATAATATCAAGGTCATTGTTGAAATAATTCAAATTAATCGAAGCTTGCTCCAAGGGATCAGCGCTGTTCAGAGTGACTTCACCACCTTCAGAAACCGGCCTGACAAGGTCGACCATGACAGTCATGTAGCTGCCTTTGTTGGGATGGGGGAAGTGCCATTGGAAGGCACTTCCGAACAATGGGATAAAATCAAGCTCGAAATGAGGCTGGCCATACGGACAGAAAGGGTCAAGGCCACCGTTCGAAGCCTTTGCCGCGCGGTACTCGGGAGATTTCTCCAGGTACTTGTCGATACGGGGAAACCCAATCATCTCTAGGAAGGGTGATCCCATGGCACCAGTGTGGCTCTTGGAGTAAGCTGCCAGGACCTTGTCACGCACAGGACCTTTTCGGAGGACATGACTGTCCATGGAGTAGTTATCCTTGACTCGAAGGACAAAAGGTACGCCTGGATGATCCAACAGATGCTGACCAACATGGGGCGAATCAACAACTAGTGGGATACTATGTTTAGCCAGCTCAGCAGAAGGACCGATACCGCTGAGCATTAGGAGCTTGGGGGTTTCAAAGACACCCTGAGACACGATGACTTCACGGGTAGCGTATAAGCTAAGCTCCTGTCCGGAGCCGGTGATCACCGTGACTCCCTTGGCAGCACGCTCAGCGTTATCGATAATCAGCCGCTTCGAAATAACTTGAGGAAGGATAGTAACGTTCTTGGTGTTAGCTACCGCGAGAAAGCTACCTGATCGTCGGCCTTTGTAGATTGTGTTGACACTGTGCACAAGGCCACGCATCTCGCCGTCGAATATATTCTCAGAAACAGGTTCACCAGTAGACTTCCAAGCTTTGGTGAGAAGCTCACGGAAGTGGCTCATTTCCGGCATAAGGTTGGCATGAGCAATTGGAATAGGGCCGCCGGAACCAATCTTCTTGAGTTCCTTCGGATACAAGCCCTCATCGTCGTGGTAGGTCACACTCTTCCTAAGATAAGGAACGAGGGGATCCCAGGTCCACTCCTTTCCACCGTACTCCTCCCACATATCAAAGGTGCCCTTAGATCCAGGGACCCATGAAAAATAATTAAGCGAAGAGCTGCCCCCAAGGGCCTTTCCGCGGGTATTAGGCTTCTCAATGCGCTCATAGTCATCGCGCTTGACCATAGTGGTCTTGTAAGCCCAGTCATACTGACTGCCCCGGATGTCCATTGCAAGCGCGGGCGTGCGGATCTCTTCATTGTCAATAGAGCTGCCAATGCCAGCTTCAACGACCAGAATCCTGGCGTTGGGATTCTCAGCTAGGCGTGCGGCGACAATATTGCCAGCTGTGCCACCACCTACGACAATAAAGTCGAAACGAGCGCCGTCTTGGACTGACATGGTGTGTGATTGAAGGGTTTATTGAATGAAATGTATTCAGATGTAAAGAAAGAAGATGATGCTCTGACTGTCGGAGCTCTTGTGAGATGTTTAACGTATGCTCTCGCGGCATCATCAGCTATACTTATACATCCACAAATCGAGCAGTTTCCTATTCTCCTCTCGAGTAATCTGGATGCATCCCTCTTACGAAGAGGGGAAATGCTGGATAACACCCCGAGTCAATTCCCATTCGCTTACTAGCCCTTCTACATTGGGCCTATAATGCATTCTCGTCTCGCCTCTAACGATAAGCTATACCTTGGCTGAAGTATAATCTATCAGGTACGCCAGGTGCATTTGTTCACTTAAACGGAAACATTAACGCGCTATGAGGAATGCTGGATAAACCCCTGGCTTGATTCCTATTCGTTTACTAGCCCTTCCATATTAGGCCTATATCCCAAAGTAGTGCCATACACGCCAACCATCGTCTCCCTCTGGCAATAAGCTCTGCATAAGCTGAAGTATCGTCCTGCCGGATGTCCCGGAACCCATGCCTTTGATAACATGTGAGTCTCATTCGCTGAGTAGTCACGCTGAAAACGACAACAATGTCTGAGGGGTAGCCCGGATAGCTACAGAGACCTGATGCAATTTCAGTTAGTCTGTCTGAGCTCAGCTTGCCGGGGGGTGATTCGGCTTCTCCCCGGCGTGAGATCACCGATGTGGTAGATCAGTGGAGGAACTAAGCCCTCCCAGCCATTCTAAGAAACACTATCCGACGAATCATAGTGCGTGTTCCCCACGCTGGGCGGTGTTCAACTTGCCCGCAACTCTCCGTACATGAATAGAGACGCATCCAGCCAATCACACTCATTACATTCAGGATTAGGCATTTATGGGGAAGTTTTCTGTGGAATCTGTCTCGGAAGGTGGCCTGACTATGTAGACGATGAGTGTAGACTGGAAGGACTGTGTATAAAGAGTCTACTATATAATAAGCAGCCCAGACCGCTCAGCCAGGGAGGTCATGACCTTTGAATACAACTTGCAGTGCTATATGCAATTACAGTTTCCACTCAAGATGCCTTCGTACTATACACTGGCTGAAGGTACAGATTTCTGCGGAACGTTCATAAAACAACATCGGCTAAACGCACGCAGGCTGCCCCCAGCCAAGGGACGATACCAGCGTCCAGCTTCGTAACGGAGCTGATGGCGGCGGCCTTGTGTTGTTACAAGACACGCAGCTCATCGAGACACTGGCCCACTTCTCAAGAGAGCGCATCCCTGAAAGGTCGAGCCCCAATCTATCTGAAAATGCGAGACATGGCATGTCACTGACATACTACAGAGTTGTTCACGCCAAGGCTGCTGGGTATGTTAAACAAAGCCCCCCGGTGAGCTCGTTCGCTCAATTACTTCTAGCGCATACGGAGAGTTTGAGGCGACCCATGATTGCGGCGACATAACCTCTGCTAGCTTCCTTAACACGGTTGGGAAAAAAACAAAATGCCTAGTACGCATTTCGACGGTAGGTCCCGAGCGAGGCTCGGCAGACACAGTTCGCGATGTTCATGGGTGGGCTATGAAACTTTACACAGATGAAGGCAACCTGGATTGGGTTTTTAATAACACAGTAAGCTATGAACCTCTTATTTTTAGTCTCGTTCGAGAATGTTTACCATGATTCCCAGCCCGTGTTCTTCGTCCGGGACCCCATCAAGTTTCCTTCACTCAATCGGTCACACAAGAGAAATCCAAGGACAAATACCGCCGACGCTAATATGGTAAGTGGCTCTGCGTCACATCTTACAGGCTCCACCGTGCTTCCACCGTGCTAACTCAGCCAGTTTTGGGAGTAAGTCTTGACAGCTATTCACGTCAAGAACCAATCAGAGCCTAATATTGGCTAGCTTTCATGTCGGGAACCCAGAAGGGATCCATGAACTTATGCACTTGTTCAGTGACCGGGGAACGCCGGCATCGCTGAGAATGATGCCCGCATTCAGTGGCCACACTTACAAATTCACCAAAGAGGTGGGAGTAATCTTAAGTCCCTGAAAATTTTCCACCGACTAACAGGCCCCGCACAGGATGGTACATTCAGCTACGTAAAGGTGCATATCAAACCACAGCTAGGCATCAAGAACTTTGATCGTGAAACCGCCACCAAAGTTGCAGGCGAGAACCCTGACCACCTGGTCGATGACCTTTACAATGCAATCGCCAAGGGGGACTACCCGAAATGGAACGTCTATGTTCAAGTGTTGACACCCAAACAGGCCGAGGGGTACAAGTGGAATATATTTGACATGACCAAGGTCTGGCCTCACAAGGATGTTCCCCTGAGGCAAATTGGCGTCTTGACCCTTAACGAGAACGTAAGTACCAGGACGTCTGAAAGGTCTGGAAACATTGCTCACCCAATAGCCAAACAATTATTTCACAGATATTGAGCAGGCGGCATTCTCACCGTCGACAATGGTCCCCGGATGGGCGCCTTCTGCAGATCCTAGTAAGATACCCTGCTCTTTAATATGCTCTCAACACTAATCTGGAACCAGTGCTACAAGCTCGCATGTTTGCGTATCCGGACGCTGCACGCTATCGATTGGGGACGAATTATCAGATGCTTCCTACAAACCATGCCAAGGTGCCTGTTCACTGCCCGTATCAACGGGACGGGTTTATGAACTTCACCAACAACTACAACGATGAACCAAACTACGTGGGCTCTCAGCTTAAACCCATGGCCTTCAAAGCAGGCACCAGGGATGGTGGTTCGCTTTCGACCTTGACCGAACACGAGAGGTGGACTGGCCAGGTCCTGAGCTACACCAGCAATTTGACGGCCCTGGACTTTGAGCAGGCGACTAGTTTGTGGGAGGTCATAGGGCGAGAACCTGGCCACCAAGAGAGATTCATTTCCAACGTGGCTGCCCACATAGCCGGTGTGACAGACAACCGGCTCAGATCCGCGGTGTACCGTAAGACATTCCATTCAGCCCTTGGAATTTTATGACCGACCAGGTAATAACACTGCGCAGAGTTGTTCACACAGGTCGACAAGGATCTAGGGAGTCGTATCCACGACGCCACAGAAGCGACCCGGCAGTGATGACTTGGCACCTATGAGACTACATGTCGAGTCTAACAAAGCCACCCCCCCCCCCGGTCCAGTTTCTAGCGAGACATTAGGTCTGATTGCCAGTGACTCCACCTGGCCTTTGGAAATTCTGGGTCGTTGGTGCTTAGATTGGCTAGCATAGGTACTATGCAATGGCATAACACTATATGGAGGTTACATGACTTCGGGAGGTCCGTGTCGTATTTTATCAAGATACTAACTAAGTTTATCAACAACTCTGCGTGGGCCGTTCACTCTTATGACATCACTTGTACGTCTGTGTTCGAGGGTCATTACATTAGAATGTCAACCAATCAGCTGGATGAAAAATGACCAAAACCAGCCCAATGGATTGGGTGGCGTGGGGGGGGGCGACTCTCCCCTTCCCCGCCTTCTTCGCCGTCTGAGCTGAGAGTGGAGAATCGCTCGAGGCAGGACAGTTTGTGTACATGTAGTTACAGTAGTTTTAAACATTGGGCGTCCCTTTTAATGCGCACTGGCCCGCGCCAACTCTTGTGGCAGGTAATAAGGCACGCCATGGCATCTAACTCGCCGCCTGGCAGCTCCTTTGCCTTTGTTGGCAACCCAAACGACGCCGGCGAGGCTCGTAGCCATGCCATGCGCGAACACTGGAAGCAACGGCGACAAGCCAAGGACGACCAAAAACGTAGGGCGGAGAGTGCACGGCAACAGGCGCGGCAAATCCTACCCAAAGGCGCGTATCCGGCGCGGGAAGACGGGACGACAAGCTCTTCCAGCACGAGCGAGCCACCCTCGACTCAACTGGATGGGATACCTGCTCAAGCCTTGGCTGGAATGAACCGTGCCTTGGCTTGCGGCTCGTTGGATCCCTTCGACATGTTCCCAGTCAAGCTGACGACACAACATCATAAATTGCTGCATCACTGTGAGCCGCCGAATGGCCCCCCCCCCTTCCTTCCCTTGAGCATCTCGTAATCCGAGCGATGCAGGGTTAAGTACGTACGCTACCATGATGTTCACCCAGAGCACCGCCTCCAACTTCAATCCGATGCGCGACGTCTGGCTACCCTTGGACATGTCCAACGCTGCGTCTTTCAACGCTATCATGGCACACTCGGCAGCACATCTTGCCCGAATGCAGGGCTTCTCTACATACGAGGAAGCCTTTAAATTCAAAGCCGAGGCTGTGCATATAGTCTCACAATGGATGAGTGACGCTGCACTGTCACGAAGTGATGACTTGATTGCGGCAGTCCTGCGACTATTGACATTCGAGGTAATCCTCCACGCCACACCACCGAGAAAGAGAGGAAAGGGAAAAGCAAGCCACTGACGAGAATAGAGATATTGGGGTTCAGAGGACGAGTGGCAGATACACCACGATGGGCTGCTACGTTTGATTGAAGCAAGAGGAGGCATGCAGTCTTTGAAGGAGAACTGGAGACTGGGCCTACCAGTCTACCTGTAAGACCCGGACCCCCATTGCTTATAGCTATCAAATGATCTAACTCTTCTATCCCAGCGTGTGTTTGATGGCAAAACCAACCTGGTTTGACAGTTCCAACCAGATTTGGGATATATCCGCGCCGTCCGAAGCTTCTGCGCTCAACCCCGGTGTTGCGTCCATGGGAGGCCTCCATCGACTCCGAAGTCTATGGCTGCTCTCCTTTGTTCAAGATATTGGCACATTCGTGGCTAATACCAGAGGACTAGCTAGCCTTGTTTCCACACAAGAAGCACTGCTTGTCATAAAGAATAGTCGGGAGCGGTTGAACGACCAGAGCAGCGAGCTGGAGTTCACACGACTAGCTTGCCTCGTTGGAGTCTGCGTTATACTGCAGGGGTCAATGCCTCATGAGCAGGCGTCGACGCCTCTCGAGGTGTTTCTTGGTGAGAGACGAGAATCATGGGCAGGGTCGGTTAACGGATTATACAACAATCTATGCGAGATTCTTGAACCCGAAAAAACCCAATACGTTCTGAATGTTACCTACGTGCTGAGTGCAATGAGCCAAGAAGCAAAGAAGGGAGTGGAGTTGTGTCTACTGCGAATTCTGCGTCAGGGGGGAATGGGCTATGACTCTATGGCGGATAATATTACACCAGATGTATTATTATCATCCTTGGATGGACAGTGAAGTTGAATAGGGGGGTTAAAAAGAGGCCTTGGGGTGAGAATAAAAAAATTAAATGCTTGATAAGTCTAATATTTAAAAAAAAAACATGTCAACTTGGGCAGCGTCAAGAATTTGGCCGAAATTCAGTGAACTGGTACATCACCAAATTTGCTATATGCAGAATGCTGATGTTGATTGGATGAGTAGTCCTTCCATTTCCGGCGATGACATTTCATGCTTTATCAAGACCCACCCCCCTGCCAGAGAATTATACTGTAGGGGGTCAAGGCCTAGTCGGATGGGCATTGGAACATCTGGCGCAGCCGGTCGGAGATCTGCTGGGTATGTACCTTTTTGTTTGTACACAGGTAGGCGGCCCCCTGCGGCAAGGCTAAGAAAAAGGACTGAAGATGGAGAAGAGTGAGGAGGCAGTTTGGAGGAGAGCTGGCGTGGCAGAAAGCTGCATTGTCCGACATTGAAGGCGCCCGCCCCCAAGAGACAAGGAGGTGACAAATGGCATTGCCATTTTCGCAATAGCCCTTAGCAGAAAGATCAATCCTGCCCTGGAAAGGTTTCGTTCAAATCCGGACTACAGCCGTTTCGAGCGCGACGAACCGCCGCGGTTTGTCCCTTCCCCCGAGGGCTATTTCATCCGCCCAGGCATGTTTGTAACCACGCCTGGCGAAGGCTCCTACGAATGCAAGATGGAGAAGCTTTTCGCGCCGCCTCTCAACTATTACGAGCAGGAGATCGCCCTAGGTACGGCACAAGGCACTCAGCTGTATAATCCCAAGGCAATCTACGGGAGGGAAGAAAGGTTCGAGATCCGTCGCATGGCGAACAGTATGGATTTTTGCAGGGAAAAATACATCGAAGGTGAATCGGGCGCACGGCGACTACGAGTCCTCGCGCGGCGAAACATCAGAAAGCGCTGGAAGAAGATGGGCGTATGGAATTCTGCTTGGGGAATTCCTTGCCGGGAGCCACCAGAGCCCAACGACTCGACTTTTTATTGGAGATGGGAGTGGCAGCACGGCGAGTTTGCCGCCGAAGCAACATCCCTCTCCTCCCCAGCGGCAAAAACACACCCCATCGCCAGTGCTCTTCTTTCACGCCAAGGGCTTCGATTTGGAGAATGCCAGTACCGGCCTCCCCTTTCTCACCCGACTGAGCAAACATCGCCCAGCGAGGCAATGTCTTTCATCGCATCTCGACCGTGGTTTGTGTTTGGTATTGAGTGAAATGAGTGGGACACGAGACGTCTTCGACTTCCTATTCATCAAGATGGAGAATACGTTTCATCAGTCCCATCGCTATGGCATAAGAGAGGCGACCGAAGATTGACCAATGAACCCTCGAGACCCAAGCTACCAACCACTTGGATTATGATGCCATGGAGCTGACGCCTTCTGAGATAGACGCTCTTGAGTCTTTAGCCCCCCGGTTCTTGTCTCCAAAACCCCAAATCGCAGATAGATCTGATATACTTCAGCAAACAATGAGCCCTACTCGAGAAATACCTCGGAGCCAAGCTCCCGAACCAGAAACCCCTGCCCAACCACGACGCAGCCCTCGATTCCTGGCAAAAGAACCAGATGCCATGCCGCCCAAAGCTCTAACCGAGACCGGGGACCCATCTTACACGAAGAGAAGTCGCCTTTCCGAAAAGATCAGCGCCGTCGAGCCTTCGTCCAGCATGAACAAGCCTCGAACCAAGACCGACACACCATCAACTAAGCCAAGGGGCCGGCCTCCCAAGACCACCACCTTGCCCCAGTCTCCATCTAGTATACCTGATGGCACTGCCCCCTCCAAGAAAGCCCAGGTTAAGCGAAGAGGACGGTCCCCAAAGGCGACGAGACTGACTAGATCCCCACCCAATATACCCGAGCCTGTTCCCCTCCCGACAAAAACACAAGCCAAGCCAAAAGGTCGGCCTCCCAAGGCGGCCAGCCAGGCTCAGCCCCGGCCAGGCGCACACAAGACTGCAACCAAGACCGAGACATCAGCGATCAAGAGGAGTGGCCACCCTCCTAATACGGCCGGCTGGACCCAGCGTCCATCGGGGATATCTAAACCCATAGCCAGATCTAAAAAGAGCCAGGCCAAGTCGAAGGAGGGTCCTCTACCAGCCTTGCTGATGGAAGACAAGCAGCCCCCGGGCAAGACGGCAGACCGAAAAACTGCGCGAGCAATAGACAAGCCCGGAGATGTCGTCCAGACAAAGAACACACCACCCGAGAAGGAGAACAGGCCATCCCTGAAGCCGACAGTGGGAGCAGCCCCGCCCAAGAAGCGAAAAAGAGATCAACACAAGAAGTCTGATACACAAGGGCCTTTGGATACCATTGTGGTTCAGTTAAATGATTCAATTGAGGCCCTGGGCAGGGACCAGACCGCACCCTTGGTTGGGTCTCGGCGAAGCGAGCGTATAAAGGACCGGGAGAAGAAGAAACAAAGAACAGGCTGACGCCCTCAGTAGCAACGCACTTGGGCTGAGGGGCAATCGGTAGCACCTCTCTTGGCTCTGGGATGTGTCATCATTGCTTGGTTGTAACTGGCTGCAAGCTCAGAGAGGAGAACCAGAACCTCATGCCTTGGGGATTAAATTTGTCGGTCCATTTACCCAAAGGTTGCCACTTATCTGTACATCGTCACAATGACCCTTGATACGGTACGGGGTGAGGAGGTTGGCAACGTCAATGCCGTCACGGATCCCACCATGTCGTGTTCAATTGACTGCACTTGCTGAGTGGGTGTAACAAAGATGAAGGTTGAGCTTAGACATGCATGATGCACGGTGCAGGTGTAGGTAGGGTCGGATCTTGCTCCCTTGAGATGAGGTTGTCCTGCGGGATACACGTGACCCGAAACCACGTGACTAAGTCGGAAGCAACGACACAGAACCCGATGCTGGTGGCGCAAATTTTTTCAACATAAGCAAAACCGATCTTGTTAGAACTTTGTTTTGTAGTATAGCTTTATGCTCTTGCCGATGCTGAATGATTGTTGGAAGTTGCTACCTGTTTGTTTTGGCTTCGTGACAAATACTTAGCTTTTGTAACAAAAGGAGTTATCGTCTACCTCAAATGGCCCAAACTTTAAGCTTAAAAAAAAACAAAAAATAGAAAAAAAGAACATACAACAGCCGGTATTCGCTGGTCGTCACCGACCCAACTACTAATCGGCCCCTCATCCGTTTAACTAGGCGAGAGCGGACGGGATCGCGTGTTTTCGAATGGGTATGGTCGTATGTGACAGTCACTGTTCGCATATTGCCTATATTCCTACGTTGTTGCAATACTGACATGCTGTTTATGCTCAAGACGTGTGATCACAGCTCTCTCCGCCAGGAACAGCGGCTGAAATCGAGCATCGGAAGAAATTACCTTGTTGTTGGGCGATACATCTCGATGAAGCATGTTCATATGTCTGGACATGATCGCCTCTTTGTAAGTAATCGCTACTTGGTCAAAATTCACTGCTGCCATGATGCTGTGGTTAAAGTTAGCTGCTAAAGGCTTCCACCCCGCGTTTCCCCCCTACATGCTTAACCGATGGAGGGATTTCATCCTCCTGGCAAATTATTTTTACGTAGTTTCCTCGTGGTAGGCTCATCGTCATTGCGAGCCAGTCATTGGCGGGCTTACAAGCACTCTCCACCGATCCAGGTCGGAATAGTAAACTCCGCACCTAAACCACCCAGTGCTGACAGACGGGCTTCCAGAGGGGGAACGCCAAAATAGAGCGTCTGTTATTACTAGCGGCCCGTTGCTCGATCGAGAATATTACCTGCTAACCCGTCGCTAGTTGGGTTGGGCTACGGATCATCCTGGCGTTGGCGTTTGCATATATTGCTTCAATGGGTCGGCAACTCTTAACAGCTTTAATAAATGAAGTCAAATGAGGATCCTTAGAGATACTCGTTGATTATATTTCTGCATCCGTCTCTTCTTTTATGTCATCATGGTGCTCTTGTAGTACCTTCGATAAAGAAAATTAAGAGTCTTGTGTTCTTGCGTTTTAGCTCTGAATCCCCACCCTCTCCTAAGATCATAAACAAAGTCCTACCATAAGATATCTTCTCAAAAGTCTTTTAGTGGGTCAAGCTCCACGTAATCCAGATCAATATCAACCACTCCTACATCCCCTGGCCTCCGTTCTTTATCATTACTGCGATTTGGAGGAGGTAACTCGCATCTTCGACTGAATTCTAAGCCCAATGGGCTCCTCAGCCAGGTCTGAAACACTGTGGAGGGGGCTATTGTTGTTTCAACGTCCCCAAAGGACTCTATAACGTGTCTTTCGATATGGTCGAGGATTGTGGCTGGTATTGCAGTCCGATTCTGGAGTAGCGTAGCCTCTGCGAGTGCAGAGATCCGGTGCATAGGCTGTCGCAGAAACCCTAACCGCTGGTAAATAGATGAAGATGCAAGAATTTCAAAATAATAAGTCTGCCTGATCGTCCATTTCCTTTCGAAATTTCGATCCATGTTCTCGAATGCATCTAGGACTTCTGGGACATTCGTCACCCGCTCGGCGTCTTTATCTGTCCACGTATCCTTGAAAACATTCCCTTTTCGTTCAAATTGGCCCTGTGCATTCCAAGTGCCAGAAGTCCTCGGGCCCCATTGTACGGTTTTAGGTAGATACATCACATTCTGTGCAATTTCGACAATGGTTTTCCAGGGGCTTGCAATACCCCCCGGAGGTAAATCACCAGACGGTCTCAAAACAGTGGCGTCGTAATCGGTCATGATCTCGGGCCAAAAGATTGTGCTAAAGAGAATCAGCTCCATGATATGCCACCTTGGGTATCTGGTTTGAGTAAACAGGGACGAGGTAAACCGTTCGCTTGGCTTGATGTCGTCCTTGAATACCAGAAGATGGTTGTAACCTTCCTCTAGCCACCGCTGCAGATGCGCCGGAGTAGCGACTACACCTCCCCTTCCTGCGCGCAAAAGAGTGTGACGTTGTTCTTCGCGAGGTTGACCAACAAGAGTCCTGTCTCCCAAAGAATTGCGAAACGAATGAACGAGGATAGCAAATGCGCTGTAGCTGAATTCCCGGCGTTGGTTTCGATCAAGGTAGTATCTTCCAAGATCGTAGACGGGCTGCGGGAGGTTTAATAATACAATGGATGAGCCAGTTGACGTCAGTGAGGAGCTGTCCACGGCCCCAGTTGCGTGGAGCCAGACGCCGCCCAAGACCTCCTTTTGCAAGAAGAAGAAGGAAGAGAGCTTCTGAACTTCACTATAAAATTTGACGCCACTCCAGTTCCCGTTTTCGTCACAGAATAACTGGAGGAGCCAAGATGGTACACGGTTGTCCTCTGGTAGAAGGATCTCTTTACTGTCATTCATGGTTCCTTTCCAAGCGGCCTTTGCTGAGCATGCCCGTCGAAACATGTCCATTGAGAGATTGCTCCGGTCCAAAAAGCAAAGAAGATATAGGAAAGATGCGGTATCTGGAGGTATCGCCTGGATGGAAATACGCCATGCCGCAATAATGGAGTTTTCATATCCAGACGCGATAGGATGTGTCGTTCCCATAGACATTACGCGAATCTGATCTCGAATATTTGCCTCTTCTGACTCATATAATACCAGGTATTCCTTCAGACTCCCTAGGGAGCTGGCAAATCTGAAACACAACGATTAGTTAATTGATGGACTCACATCACATCTTTAATCAGAAGCTCAGCCTTACCTTCCTGCCAAATCTACGGCCAGTGCAATACACTCTAACCGCATGACTACTTTTTCGGCGTAGTATAAGTCCTCTTCAGTTGGCTCTTCTATGTTGGCATGGTAGAGCAAAAGTTGTCTGGCACCATCTACAGGCATGCCTTTCACGAATATGGCTTGTTTGCGTACCAAACTCCGTGCCTCTTGCCGCCGAGAGCAAACAAGAATCCGTCCGTTCGGATCAGACGGTATGAACTCTCGAAGTCTGTCAATGACGGCCAAGTCATCTACCTGATCAAATAACAGAAGCCACGACTGTCGTCTGCGGCGCAGCTCCCGCTTTATTAGTTCAAGGTCGCCGTCAAAATCGGTCGACTTGCTCAAAGATCTCGCGTTGGGGCTGGGGGTCTCGTGCGCTGGAATGCGAAGGCCAAGTTGGCTCGCAGCCAACCTAAAACTTTCGTTCAAGGAATCAAAGCTCTTACCATCAAACCAGAGAACTACACCGTATTTGTTACGACTCAACCAGGCATAACGTAGCATGATCTGAGTCTTGCCTGAACCTCCCAGGCCAGCTAAAACAACAGTTCGAGATGTTTTCGATGTGGAACTCTCTTCAAACCATTTCCCAATCTGGGAGATTTCCTTCCTGTGGACAAAGTAGGGAACGGGCTTCTTGCCAATACGGTCTAGCTGGAAAAATTGGTGATGAAGCTCGGGCTCAGAACGAGGGCGTCGCTGTCGAATGAGCGCTCTCTGGGGCGGTTCAGCAGATTGGGAAGACGATCCAACTGAGCCTATGGGCCTAGGCTGTAAGTCATGATCTATGTAGTAATTCTGGCCGTCCCCGCGATTTTTGCTGGGAGACAATGGCGTTGAAGAGTATTGGGAAGGGCGTCGTGACTTTGACCTGATGTCGGCATGTATTGGGATCGTGGGCTCTACCGTGGCAGTTTTTCCTAGTAGCTTTGAAGCACATTGTGCTAGCTTGGTGGCAACAGATACTTCTTGCATATATGATAGAGTGCTGCTGGTCATAATATCGACCTTCTGCCATTCATGAAGACCGATGCCTTGCATGCCTTGTTCGACGTTAAAGCGAAAATAACAGTCTTCATACTTGCAACCTGGAAGACAGAAGGATTGGTAGAAGCGGTTTGCCGTATTTTCCGTGTCTGTCGCAATTCGTGCGCATGCCTTGGCAATCGAAGTAAGATGGTTGCTTATGGCGATAGTACGGGGCAGCCCCGTGCCGATGCTTGCAATCGCCCGTATCCTCACTCCCGAGGCTTCACAGTCGGCTTCACGGATGAGCTCGTAAATAGGATTGTTGCCTCGTAACGCACCATCCCGGAAGGTGAGGCCGTTAGATAGCGTTATGGGATCGAAAAACGTTGGTGCAGCTGATGTCGCGCGAGCCGCCTCCCATATTGTGCACGAGATGTTGTCCTCGAGTGATGAACGGTAATTCCGCAGACAGATTGTTTGAGTATTAGAGAGGCTTGCGCATACGAACCTATTGCTACATTAGGCGTCGGGAAAATCATGGAGTGCTGTCACCTACATACATCTTGCATTTTGGGGCTGATTCTAGTAGAGGGGCATTTTCATCGATGCCCGACTGCCGGATCACATGCTTGATGGCATCTTCTAGTGCATTATGGCTGTATGCGGCCTGGCCCGTGATTTTCAGGAGGTTTTTCCCGAGGATTTTGTTGCGCTTTCGAGGTGTAAAAATATCCTTTGAGAGCTTGATATAGGCATCGATGCATGAATCAATGCCCATTTCCTAGACACCAAATTGTTCAACATCCCAGCGTATGTGTAGAAACGTATTCCATACCAGCCTCCCAAGCATTATGGCAATCAACCCCCCAGTACTTGTTCCAGCAATGAAATCGAAAATTTCGCATGCTTTTGGTGGGCTGTCGGGGTTAATAAGATAAAGAACCCTTTTTAGGATGAGGAGGCTGGCGAGACCACGAACCCCACCTCCGTCTGCCGCCTCAGTCAGCCATGTCCAAAGTGATGTCCTGAGCTGATTTGTTACCTAAGGCGAGCAGACATAATGAAGACATGCCTGCTATTAGAACGCAATACAGAAATCCCAAGCAAGTGACGTGAATATATGCTGCCACTGTGCCGATGTTGAGGATGAAAGCCAGCGGCCTAAGGCGACCTGGTAGGCGTGAGGCGGTTTGGGCTAGGATTTGCTATCGAACCACCCCACCACAGCCTGCGTGTCAGCCACCCATTTGTGGCTGTGCCGGGCTTGGTGGCCGATACCGGCGAATGTCCCAAGCCTAGTTGTCTGCTACTGTGACAAGCACTGTATTATTGACCAGCCTGATCGCCTCTTCATAATACTCCTTGGTCAAAAACCACTGCTGCCATGATAACGTAGTCGAAGTCCATTATCAAGCGGTTCCCCCGCGGTTTCCCCCCATAGCAATATGGTCCTCCTGGCAAATTAGTCTTCACGGGTTCTTGCTGCCCCCTGCATGCATTTGGATGGATGGGTACCTATGGAGGAATTTCCTCCTTGTGATATGTTCATCGTTACAGCGCCACGCTATCCTATTATTATCCGCTCACCTTCATATCGATCGGGATTTTAGGAAGCTACGTCTATTTGGCATTCGGCTCTTTGGGTCTGGGACAGATCCTTGTTGGTGACCATTGTGAACAGGCAACAACGGCCAGCGTGGAGATGCTGGTTTTGCGCCATCTGGTTGGCGTCTGTCATCGCCGGCACTTTAGAATATATCGAACATCGTTCTTCGGCGTTCGAATTTAGAGTGGACATGATGATGTATAGAGTCTCGTCGTCATTGTTCTTTTGTGGACTGCGACGTCCATGGCAGCCTGTGATTCAGCAACTCCTCAACAATGATTCCCGGAGCTTGGCGGCATCGACCTGGACGTTCATTGAGGAAAAGGCACAATGGGGCGAATTTCTAGTGGCATGCATTGCCATAGCCTTATGTTTTCATTATATGAGGGCTCAGTTCTTTAGCAAGGATCTCATCTTAGATCTCGTTCAGTTTGCCCCATTTGACTCAGCCATATGTGCACTTCGTTCCGTATTAAATAATCAGCAGTCGGGTACGGCCTTTCGTGTGAGGAGCAGAACAACACTTGCCTCACTCCTACGCCACGCTTCTGATGGACCAAGGAGGCGATCTTGAAAACTGACGAGATTGTGGAATATCAGCTTGAATCGGAGAAGCGTAGGCCCGGCGACATGCCCTAGTGCAAGTCAAGAGCTGTGTACGTAGGTCAAGAAGTTAGAGATTTCTGGGGCTGGCCGGAGATTTTGGGTGCGGTGACTTTCCAATCGCACGCACAGAACCCATATCTCACCGTATGCGCCATGCTCGAAGAGAGTCTTAGCAAAGAGCTCAACCTACAGACGAATACCATGGTACTGAGCCTCAGTCAGACTTCTTGCAAGTCCAAGGATGGAGCCAAGTGTAAGATCGAGACAGATCGGGGCACTGTCAAAGGGAAGCAAGTCGTGTAAGGATACAAAACTGGGGTGAGAATACGAAGCTTATCAAGGCTCTAGAATGGTTTCCCAGCCCTTTCAGAACCGCGCGCGCATGCAAGAAAAATAATAACGCGATGGCATATTAGCATAAGTAATTTTGCATCATTGGCGAGTTATTACAATTCAGAATTGATATCAAAGGACCCTGAGGTGCATTCACATGTGGGCATGGCCCATTACATCGTTCTAGAAAAACCTCGCCCTCGCTCGGACTTTTGTGACTTAGACCAGATGCGAGTTTTCCGAAGACCGACATGATTAGATCAGCAAGGTGCTTGTCACATCCGACGCAGATCTTAACTAGCGGGCATTGGTATCCCGAGGTGGTCAAGGCTGGGCCTGTGATGCAGAGGGTATCGCGTGAAAAGCGAGAGCGAGAGCGAGAGGAGACTACATCTTGGTGACTTGCTTCGGCTTCGGCGATTAAAAAGGCCCGTTGGCCACGATCATGCCGTCACAAAGGGGCCTAATCACCTATTCAGCTCCAATTAACGCGACTCTATAAGTATGGCTAGGCTGCTTGTGGCGGGTTCCGCGGAGGGCCGAAGTTGTCCTAAGCCACTGATGCTGATCTACCCTCCTCGTCCTGGCTTGGCGTTTTAATACACTCCAGCTTCAGTCTTATCGCTGTAGACATCGTACGAGGTCATGCGTCTACTACTCGATATGAGATGTATCCCTCAATGATTGGGTAGACCCCAATAACCATCTTCGTGAAGGTCAGCGTTGGGATATCCTGATACCAAACTCATCCACTCTAGATATTGCATCGGTCCGGAAGCAGGATCTAGAATCTGTGTAGGAAGAATAAACTGTGAATCTCCATTTGCCGCATCCCCATAGGGCCCCCGGCGCGTTGACTCATCTTGAGTCACCGTAGGCCCAGTATGTGCCAGTGATGGTTCATTGGATGTCTGTCGCGCTTCCCAGGCAATTTTGCACTTGGCTGCTAGAGCTTCTAGTACCGTTAATTTTGCCCCGAATCCTTCAGCCGCCGAGGCCCTTTCATCTTCTAAAACCCGGTTCACAAGCTCCCACGCTCTTTGATAGTCAAACCTGGCGGGATGGGCACAGAAATACCAGAGAATGTACAACGTTATGCTGTACTGAGGATACGCCTTGCCGGGCGCCAAGTGCCGTGCCATAATCTCGTCGTCCGCCACTGCGTGAGATGCCTCCAAAATATCCTCAGCTTCCCGAAGATTGTCGAGGCTTCCAAAGGGCCCATCAACGTCAGCTGATTGTAATAGTTGCCATTGTATTCGGCTCAAGAAAGCGATTTTCCGAACCACCAAGGTTGAGACCAACAGAGCAAGGCGCTGTCGGGGAATCACGGGATTGCAGCATTGTATGTATCCTTCGATGGTCTTCTTGACCTCGTCCATAACTTGGACCCTTTCATCTTCCGATGGTGAGCGCGAAGTGGCAAGAGCTGTCAGCTTTGACGTCGCTATCGTTAGGTGGATATGAATGAGGAAATGCGTCATCCCCGTCCAGCTTTCTCTTGCAGGTGGCAGATCCTTCATATCTGGGACAAGATCTATGTCTTCAATGTTGAGTGGGATACCGACGCTGCCTGGTCGATACCCTTCCGATCCGCTTTGGAACCCGTAGTCCTCTCCCGCTCGACTCTCCAAACCAAGGAGATGCCACCACAGGCGCCGGCGTAGCTCAGACTGAAAAGGGGACAGACCAAGGCGCTCTCCATCACAGTGTAAACCAAGGGTACGCGCAAGTCGAATGGCGAGGCCATTGGCAACCCAGAGCCCTTTGCTACGGTTGCGAATGCGGAGTGCGCTCTAAACGAACCGGTTAGTCGAGCACCAACTTGTGAGAGAGCATATTTGAAACCAAAATACCAAATAAATAGCCAAGGCCTGACAGCCAGTGAAGCTAGGCCTGTCGAGCAGGTTGGCATGGGCAAGAGCTTGTTCAAGTCCAGTCTTGAAGCTCAGCAAAGCCTCCATCCTACTCCCCCCTAAGATGGCATATTGATCTGGATCATTCATAGACAGGCAAGCGCCAAAATAGATGGCGAAGCATAATGCCAGGTCTTCCAAGGTTGCTGATGATGGGTCTCTGATTGTCTGGAACACCTTGACTTCGTCTGTTGGAATATGCAGCAGTTTCTGCCCTGCAAATATCTCCAGATTGTTGAGGTAACTGACCCATAGCTGTGAGGCGATATGACTGGGTGGGTGGTAGGTGTGTGGTGGTCTTGACAGATCCGGCACCGAGAGAATGCCGAGCACATTATAGGGGGATACGGATTGGGTTGGCGCACTGGCTTGGGGGCTGGTCAAAGCGGTTTGAACATGCTCATTCTCGTTCAGTACCCTTGAGAGGACGACGTCGTTGAAGTAGTGACTTGTTGATCCCTTCTGGACCAGAATGTCAACACTTGATGGCGTGCTTGTGTCGGTATCAACACTACGATTGGCCAAAGCGGTGCCTATCGATGAAGGCACGACCCCAGTCAAGTCTGGTGCCGACTGAGCTTTGTTCATAGCAGTGGACGGGGACTGGCCATCAACCCCCCTGGCTTGAACAACTTGGTTCAATCTGTTATCTAGATCGGCAATGCGTGTGGCCATCTCACAGTGAATGGATCGCTTGGTGCGCCGAACCCTCTGACCGGGGCGCGGATAGACACATGGCTTCTCGGCTCTGCGACAAGGCGTGCAAGGGTCTTTCTTGTCACATTTGACTTTTCTCTGGTGGCACAGCTCGCATGAGCGAGGGGCTCGTTGCTTGCCGGCATAAACACTCGGACTCCGATCGCTGGGCTCTGTGGGTGGCAGGCTTTGGGATGCTGAGATGTCTTCGGACATGTTTGACGGTTGGCTTACCGGAGATTCCGGTATCTGACACACGCTGGGGGCCAATAGAGCGGATGAAGAGAAAAGGAGGCGTGGACCTTCTCCTAGAGAGGTGTGAACATCGGTCTGCTATTTGTGACAAAAGTTAATACGACGGACTTGTTCGGAGGTTTTAGATGAGAGGAGGTCACTGGTGGCATTCGGTCTCGGCGATAAACCGCCGCCGATTGGTTCGTTGGCATCACGTAGTCTGGGACAAGGAGAAGACGTGGGGCTCTCGGCGCCGATTTGTTTGATTTACAGAGTTGTTGGAAGCCTTGATATCTTTTTCTTTTTATTTCTCCCACCCCTGTGTGAAAAAGGTAATAAGAACGAAAACCAGTCTCCGAAATGCCGAATCTAATAGCCTTAAATGTCCTTTCAAGACCTAAAATTTGTTTTGGTCGAGTGTGTTCAAGTTTCATCATCTCTCGTTCCCCCCATATCCCCAATCACTTTCCTTGACCCTTTCTCTTATACTTTAATTCTATTAATCTCTATTTGAGCTCGCTTGCAGCCGTGGACATATCTAAACCAGCATCCTAAGCGGTTATGGCAATGGCTGAACTCGCCTCCGAGAAGCCGATTTCAGGCATAAATACTGCGAGTGCCTCATTTACCGATGTCGAGAACGATACAAATACCCATGATAATACCGAGGAGCAGATTCACGATGAAGTCCTCGAGCTGGCCAGGCGGATTACGACACAGCCTCACCACGGTGATTCTGCAAAGCTGTTCCCCTTGGCCAAAGACGGACCGTTAGATCCTCAAAGCCCCAAGTTCGACGCAAAGAAATGGGCCAAGGCGTTCTTTCACGCCAGAACCGAAGCGCTCGATGGAACACCACACAAGACAGCTGGTGTAGCCTTCCAGAACCTCGACGTGTACGGCTTCGGGTCGGACACCGACTTCCAGAAAACAGTCGTCAACGTCGTTCTTGGAGCCAAGTCTCTGCTTCAAAAGTTGTTTCGCAAAGACCAGCAACGTGTTGATATCTTGCACGATTTGGAAGGTGTTGTTCGTAATGGAGAGATGCTTTGCGTGCTTGGTCCCCCAGGCTCTGGATGTTCCACCTTCTTGAAGACAATCGCAGGGGACACTCATGGATTTTACATCAAGGATACTTCGTTGATCAACTATCATGGCATCCATCCCACTCAAATGACAACATCTTTCCGCGGCGAAGCTATATACACCGCCGAGGTCGACCACCACTTTCCCTCTCTCACAGTTGGCCAAACACTGTACTTTGCTGCTGCTGCTCGTTGCCCTCAGAACATCCCTGCTGGTATCACAAGAAGCGAATACATTGGACACATCCGCGACGTCACTATGGCCATGCTAGGCATCATGCATACAATGAATACTCGTGTAGGCAATGACTTTGTCCGGGGCGTCAGCGGAGGCGAGAGGAAGCGAGTTACGATCGCTGAAGCCTCTTTGAGTCATTCGCCCTTGCAATGCTGGGACAATAGTACGAGAGGCCTCGATAGTGCGAACGCCGTGGAATTCTGCAAGACACTGCGGATACAAGCCGATACAATGGGCTATACTTCATGCGTTGCCATTTATCAAGCGCCTCAGGATGCCTACGATCTCTTTGACAAGGTTTTGCTCTTGTACAAGGGTCGCCAAATTTTCTTCGGCTCGACCAAGAGGGCTAAGCAGTACTTTGAGGAGCTTGGCTTCCACTGCCAAGAGCAGCAGACCACTGCCGACTTCTTGACTTCCATGACCAGCGCGCAGGAGCGTATTGTCCGGGATGGCTGGGAGAACAAAACGCCTCGAAGCCCCGAGGAATTCGCCCAAGCCTGGAAAGCGAGCCGCGACCGTGAGCTACTACTAGAAGAGCTTGAAGAGTATCAGGCGTCTTACCCATTCCATGGTGAAAGCTACGACAAGTTCCGCGAGTCACGACGCAAGGACCAGGCCCCTTTGCAACGCGCCAAATCGCCCTTCACTTTATCCTACTTGCAGCAAATGGCATTGACAATGTGGCGAGAGGCAACTCTGATCAAAGAAGATCCGTCGTTGACCATTACAATGCTTTTTACTAGTTTTTTACAAGCCATTATTGTAAGCAGTATCTTCTACAACCTTTCTGAGACAACTGCCTCCATGCAGAGTCGGGCGGTCTTACTGTTCTTCCTCATCTTGATGAATGCGTTTAGCAGCATCTTGGAGATCATCACCCTATATGCTAAGCGCAAGATCGTTGAGAAACACGCGAGATACGCACTGTACCATCCGAGTGCTGAGGCTCTGTCATCCCTGGTTGTCAGTCTTCCCTATAAGATCACGAACGCTATCATCTGCAATATCACTCTGTACTTCATGGGTAATCTCCGCCGAGAGCCAGGGCCCTTCTTCTTTTTCCTGCTTATAATCTTCACTACCACTTTAACCATGTCGATGCTCTTCAGACTCATTGGATCTGTTACGAAGTCAATCGCTCAGGCGATGGCGCCGTCCGCCATCATCCTACAGGGGTTGGTGCTGTATGTTGGATTCACTATCCCAACGCAGTACATGCGAAGCTGGATCGCCTGGTCTCGCTGGGCCAACCCTCTTTTCTATGCCTTCGAGTCCGTCATGCTCAATGAGTTTGTAGGCAGAAGATTTGACTGTGTGTCCTATATCCCTGCAGGGCCTGGGTATGAAGACGTCGATCCAACGGCCAGGGCTTGTTCCGCACAAGCATCTGTTGCCGGGCAGAGCTTCATCAATGGCGAAGAGTACCTAAAGACTATTTATGGATACGACAACGCCCACAGATGGCGCAATTTCGGCGTTGTGATTGCTTTCATGGTTATCTACCTGGCTCTACACCTGGTGGCCTCAGAGTACATCTCATCTGAGCGGTCAAAAGGAGAGGTCCTCGTTTATCTCCGCGAAGCGATGTCGCGGTTCAAGAAGTCCACTAGTGATACCGAGAGTGGTCGGGCAGATTCATCTCATCAACAGGAAACCGCCACTGAGGCATCTAGCGCAGGAGTAGAGAAGCAAGTCTCTGTGTTTCATTGGAGGAATGTTTGCTATGACATCAAGATCAAGAAAGAGGATCGCAGAATTTTGGACCACGTTGACGGCTGGGTCAAACCAGGAACTCTCACAGCACTCATGGTAAGCAAAGTAGCTGCCCCACGGATATTCTAGCACCTAGTTGACTGATGATGAACGTGTAGGGTGCATCCGGAGCCGGAAAGACTACGCTCCTTGACGTCCTCGCTAGCCGTGTGACCATGGGCGTTATCTCAGGCGACATGCTCGTCAATGGAAAACAGCGGGACGAGTCCTTCCAAAGGAAGACTGGCTACGTAACGCAACAAGATTTACACCTGTCCACTTCAACTGTTCGTGAAGCCTTGGCTTTCAGCGCCCTGCTTCGACAACCCTCCAACTATTCACGACAGGAAAAGCTGGACTATGTTAGTACAGTTATTGGGCTTTTGGACATGCAGGAGTATGCCGACGCTATTATCGGCGTGCCAGGTGAAGGTCTCAACGTCGAACAGCGCAAGCGGCTCACTATTGGAGTTGAGCTGGTAGCTCGACCTCAACTCCTGCTTTTCCTTGACGAGCCAACCTCTGGCCTTGATAGCCAGACATCCTGGTCGATTTGCAACCTAATGGAGAAGCTTACAAAGAACGGCCAAGCTATTCTATGTACTATCCACCAGCCCTCTGCGATATTATTCCAGCGATTTGATCGTCTGTTGCTGCTATCGAAGGGCAAGACTATCTACTTTGGCGATGTTGGTAAAGATTCTCGTGTTCTAGTTGACTATTTTACACGCAATGGTGGCCATCAGCTTCCGATCGGTAAAAACCCAGCAGAATACATGCTTGAAGTTATTGGTACAGCCCCAGGTTCCACTACGACTATCGACTGGCCCACAATCTGGCGGCAGAGCTCTGAGTACAAGGGGGTTCAAGACGAACTCGAAAGGCTTGCCCTCACTTCCGCTCCTACTGAGGATCCTTCTGCGAGTGCTGCGGCGCATCAGGAGTTTGCTGCAGCTGGCACGGTACAGTATGCACAGGTAACGAAACGACTCTTTCAACAGTATTGGCGCAGTCCCCAATACATCTACTCCAAAGTCGTATTAGCATTGGGAGTGGTGAGTATTTGCCCACATTTCGCTCAATATTCCATTTACTCATGTGTATTAGTCCCTATTCATCGGTCTATCATTCCTGAACGGCGACAACACACAGCGCGGGCTTTTCAACCAAATGTTCGGTATCTTCATCTTCCTTAGTATTTTCCCCAATATGGTTAATCAGATTATGCCCGTCTTTGAATCTCAGCGCGAGCTATACGAGGCACGCGAGCGGCCTTCCAAGACTTATTCATGGAAGGCGTTCATGACTGCAGTCATCTTTGTTGAGATAGCTTGGAACTCGGTAAGATTCAACCCAGATTGTCCTATGGACCACCCTTGGCTAACGCAATTGTAGCTCATGTCTGTGCTCTGCTATCTCACATGGTATTATCCCATCGGTCTCTTCAGGAATGCCGAGTGGTCAAATGCTGTTAATGAGCGAGGCATCACCATGTTCTTGCACATCTGGGTTTTCTTCGTGTTTTCAAGTACTTTCGCGCATATGATGATTGCGGGACTGCCATCTGCGGACATTGCGGGCGGCGTAGTGGGTTTGCTCCTCATCATGATGTTCACCTTCTGCGGGTAAGTCACAGGACCCAGAACTGGGTGGGCTCTTACGTGTTTAGCTAAAGCCCAGCTAACATGAGTTGAACAGTGTTCTTGCTGGTCCGGATGCCCTTCCTGGATTTTGGATCTTCATGTACCGTGTCAACCCGTTTACCTATATCATCGAGGGATTGCTAGGTACCGGCTTGGGCAATGCGCCGATGTATTGCGCAGATAACGAATTCGTCCAGTTCACCGCGCCCAACGGCTCTACCTGCGTCGGCTATACTGCAGACTTTATAAGCCAAGCAGGAGGTTATTTGGCGGATCCAGAGGCTACAGACTGCAGATACTGTGCCATGAACCAGACCAACTCGTTCTTGACGAGTGTCAACATCAACTTTGACAACAGATGGAGGGATTTCGGTATCATGTGGGCTTTCTGCGTCTTCAACATTGCAATGGCTTTGGGCTTTTACTGGTTGGCAAGAGTTCCAAAGAAGGCCAGGAAGAGCACAAGTGATTAGAGGTGGATCGAAAGGAGAAATATTGGACTAGGTAAGGATAGAAGCCTTAGTGTAGTAGTGGCCACTTGTACAATTTCGATTATAGATTGATAATTTTTGTTAAAGTCTTGGGTAGATCCCATTCTTTTAGACTATGTACCTTATCGTACGGGGATAGATGCTGAGGAGGGTCGTGTTGATGTTTCCACACTTGCAGACGCAATTTGTACATGTGCTATCTCACTCAATCCTAAGACTACACAGCTTGTCATCCTTATTCAGCTAATCCAATTCACTTGCCGAGAAGTAACGAGCCATATAAGCTTCGAGTGCCTGGGTTTCTCCGTTGTTTGCCCAATAAGCCCTAGCACAAGATGAGGGAAGGAGTCTGATCAAGAAGAACCAATCTCTTTCTTTGCTCGGCTAGGGATTGTGCAAGCTTGATACAAAAGTCCACCGAGGTGATTCTCATTATTTGTCTATGGAGAAGTTTTGAATCAGGTCATTGGAATTTGGTTGTTATGATGTGGTTTGCTGATAGCTAAACTAGTCCAACTAATTCCGTAGATTTCTACCACAGGAGTCAGCGCACCTGTCAAGAAGGGAGGCAAAAAAAACGAATATTTACTGATGTTTCAAACATAAAACTCTCCAAAATTTCCTGATAATTGCATGGCTTTAGCGGACCTAGTGATAAATCTCATAAAATCAGAGTGCATAGAGTAGGTCACATGGCTTGTCGTTTGAAGGGCGTGGATGACACTTCGGGTTTATGTATTATCAACATGATGGTACGAGCAACGTGCTAATTAGAGTTCATAGAGAGATTGATCATCTCCCGCTTTCTTCAATTTCTTTTCTTCTCTTTGAAAACTTATTTTGGCAAGTTATTTTTAGCTCCAATTTGGATATCGTCTACATATGACATGGCATCAATGTCTCAGCCGTCAAAATCAGTTCTTGAAGCCTTCAATCTTCATGGGACTCCCACTTCCCTGGAAGGCGGTAGAGGGCTCTGCTTCCAGGTCAATGACACTGTCTTAAAGCCATCAGAAGACTACGAAGAATCTCAGTTCATCGCGGAGGTCATCAACAAGCTCCATTCTATCCGTCCCCCCACGACCTATCGTGTACCCCTCCCGTGCCCCGCAGGGTTTGACAAAACTGTGTATGTCCAAGATGGCTGGACAGCCTGGAGCTTTCTACCAGGCGGTCATGCTCGCGGATTTGATCGCTATCCCGTTGTGTTCGAATTGGCGCGCAAGTTCCACTCTGATCTCTCATTGCTCAGTATCACTAGGCCGTCCTTTCTAGACAGGCTGTCTGACCGTTTTCACGAGTCTGATAGATTGGCCTGGGACGAGAAGTCAATCTCCTCCATCCCAAGCCTTAATCAGCGCGTGCTTTCACTCATACAACCATCAATAGATGAGCTGAACAAGCTGAAGAGACCGCTTCAAGTTACTCCACCGTCACAGATCATCCATGCAGATCTGACAGGCAACATCCTCTATGCTGACCTGCCTGGAATCATCGATATGACTTTCTTCTGGCGCCCGGCAGCATATGGTGAAGCAATTATCGCCGCTGACGCACTGATTTGGAGCGCCCAAGGCCGAGAGTTGGTCGTTGATCTGTATGGCGGACTTGATGGAACCAGAATCCAGCTTCTGGTGAGAGCGTTACTCTACAGATGTGTGGCTTTTGCGATTGATTCGGATATGCGGTTTGTCAATGCATTTCTACCCAAGGCAGATTTTAGAGGGGCGACTGAGACAGTTCGGGGTGTTATGGAAGAGATGTCGAGAGATACGACAGAGAGTATCTCGATTGTTTAGGAAAAGATCATGTGATCGCGACAATATAGTGCATAATGATTTTGTTCCTACCTACTACACTAGACATATCACCTAAAACGTATCTAATGTTTCGTATTCTGCGTCGTCTGCTTCTTTCATCCCACTCATCATGTTCCAACGCCTCAGGGTGTACTTCAAGCATACAATCATGCGCCTTTGAAAGATGGGAGCGAGAAGGTCAAGCCTAAGTATAGAGCAGTTCAATAGAATAGGGATTTGTCTTTCCTGTGTAGCTCGTAAACATTTGGGAGGGAGTTACTCCGTTAACAGCAACCGTTAGATCGCAATGATGATATTATCAACACTTGGATCGAGTATCGAGAACCCATAATGATTGTAGAAGGGCCTCCATGAAATCAGCTGAACTTCGCGATTTTGGCACGCAAAGCTTAGTTCCAAGTATCTTCCTGTGCCTGTATCAAGGTCCCATCTAGACAGCAAAAGTTCCTATACCAAGACAAAAGAGTTCCCATTACCAACATCCACAAAGTTCACATCCTGGGCCTCAGTCGCTCCCTTTTCGCGACTGAGTGCCCAATCCAGTGTGCGCCTGATATCATACACCATTGTCCTCAGTATCAACCCGCGATATTCAAGTTCAAGATCATGTGTCAGTATCCAGTACTTGCTTCCTGATTTGCGGTACAACTTCAACCCAGCTTCTGCACCATGGGTAGTTCGCCACCAACGAGTGGTGAAAGACTCTTTCAGGCCATGTAAGACAGCAAGTGGCGTCATCGCAGGTGTCATGCGAAGGAAGCTCCGGATTGGGGAATCTTCCAACTCCAAAGTCTCAGTCCCATGCGGCGTTTCTAGAATAGTCTCATGGACCTGCTCTCCCGTGTCTAAGGTGTGCGACCAGATGAAGACACCAATGAAGTTCAGCATCCCTTCACCCGACAGCTTGAAAGTCGTCAGCCATGACGGGAGCGGCGATGAAAGAGGCTTCTCGGCCTGCCATGTTTGCCCGGATATGTCTAGATCGTGTATCGTCGAGATAGTTTCAAAGCAATTCCACGGCTTTACCTTAGCTGCGACTTCCTTGGACGCAACCAACGGGATACGTTTGTCGAAAGTCTCGAGCGTCGCGCGATGGCAGTGATCTGGTCCGTCAAATAGGATAACTATGGCATCGACTGGGCCATTATATTCATCAACCCCCTTAGTCTGGACAGTTCTCACGTCACTGCCGTTTTTCCTTGCCAACTCGGCTGCTGTGCGTTCAATCTCGGCAGCTTTTTTCTGCACAGCATCACCGCCAGTGAAGGCAGGCTCCTGCGATGGCGTGAGGTGTGCCAGCCACTCCGAGAATTCACTCGCCGGGCCAGCTAGCCACGGCTCAAACACAATGTGGTAAAAGTATTGGCTGTGTCCGTCATTTGTTGGTCGGGGAAAGCTGAAAAGCCATGAATGATCCGCGTTGAGGGACGTCAGGACTGGGCGAAGGGGCCATTTCAAACCCGCTTCAAGATCTCTCGTACCCTCAGTCTTCATTTTTAGGGCTGAAACTATTGACGAGTTTATTATCGAGCGGAAGGAACTCGGAAAAGTAAGAAGACGAAGGTTGCTTCCGCCGTCGAGGGGCAGGCTGGCTTACTATATTATAGCGACTAACACATGCTTGTTATGTCACTCTGCGCAGATCCTTGACTACACGAGGTTGGTGTAGGAACGACACATACCGTCAAGGATCGCAGTTAGACTCCGGCTAAGGCAAACTAGACGGATATAATAGTAGCGTGTCCCAGCACCCTGCTTAGCCCGTCTGAGGTGGCAAACCTGTTGTCCTGAGTGACGAGGCCTCCTATGCTTATGCCGGCATATCTTATTGGTCAGAATTCACGTAAATGTTTGGCTTTTATCGCATGGAATTTCTACATCTAGCTGTTCATTGACGTTGTGTAAGCGGGATGCGGAAGGCCTGTCTCGCAAGCATTCTGCGCCGCTCGGCATATCTTCCCTGTGATTGACAAAGTATGATTGGATCTATTAGACGCCCTGCATAGAACCAATCGGTATATCGATTTAGGTAAGCCGGTGTAAGCACTAAAGGTTGGCATCATGGGTATCAAACGTGTCATCACCAGCTCCGCCACTCTGACATCCGGGTAGTAGGAAATTTATCTTGTTTTCAAAACTGTTCCTATACCGTGGTGTTGACATACACATCTATATCAGCCTCTACCTCTATCAGTGATGAATAGTTTAGTACCAGTCAAATAGACGAAAATGTTCATAGTTGAAATTCTCGCTGCTTTCGTGCACTGACGGAAACTCATTGGCGGACGGGTGAAACCCCGATAAAAAAAAGTCTGTTTCTGACGCAAATGTAGCCAATGGAGGATGCTTTTAGCCAATATATTTCTTCGATCACAATCGCATGATTGAACATGAAGGTCGATATATCCAGACATAAAGGTCCCGTCCATAAAACGCAGAACTTTGACTGCCCGCCCTGAGGCTCTTGTGGTGTGGATTCGGCCATAAGCAGCTGATCCTCCTTAACTCCGTGCCACTCCATTCAAGCTCTCCGTTTTGCAGCAGCTCCGTTCTTTGCTCCTACCGTAGGGCGGCAACTGGGATGTATTGCAGACTCTTGAAATGGAAAACAAAAGCCCTCCAAAACCTAAGCTTCTTTGCAACGTCTGCGGCAAGGAGAGCGCATCAGGTACGCTCCAGTCCAACTCACATGCTGACACTTGCTGGTGGCCAGTCTAACATGATATCCAGGGCCATCTCTAAAACGGCATATGAGGTATTGCATCCGAAAGGGTGCAATAAGCCGAAGTCGGAAAAAGTCATGCCAGCATTGCGCCCAGGCTAAAGCCAGATGTGAAGTATCCGGCCGGGGATGTCTCAGATGCTCAGGGAAAGGGCTTGCGTGTTCATTAACAGTTCCCATCAGCTCTGATACCAACGCCGGTATGGATTTTTGGGACGATATTGCTTTAGATCCCGGAAATCTCACCACTTTGGACATGAACAGCGTGCCATTTCAGGACAACCCATCTTCCAATGCTCCTGACTCTCATTTCCCGTTCGACCTTTTTATGCCGTCGAGCGTCTTGCTTGGCCCCGGACCCGAAGGAGAAGTAGGCAATGACCAGAGATTCGGATTGATTGACCCTCCGAGTAACTATGGCCAGGCGCAGGCACCGAGATTATTTGAACCCAGGCTGTTCCACGCGCCGGGCGCAATCATGGCCTCAACGATGGGAACCGGAATCCTGAAGTCTTATCCTTCAATGATGAGAAATAGAAATGGTCTACCTCCATTTATTCATCCTTTCTGCTACGGCTCGGAAAGAAATGGCTGGAAATTTCCTCTATCGCTAGAACGAGCATCATTCATTGCCTCTTCTCCCGTGGACAATTCGCCCGATACCTTATCAAATATCCGTGAGGAGCAGCAGAGGATCGATCAAACTTTGTTAGAAATGGGAATTGAGGACCTAATAAGTTCCGGACAGGCTCTGATAATCTATATCCTCATGCGAATCGAGAGCGGCCCCTCAGAGTTGGATGAAGACGTGCATCTCTACGCGACTCTCTCCCGGCTCTGTTTTCGCATCCCGTCCCTGCCAGGATTTTATGAGAAAATGGCAGAATTCTCCCCGTGGAAGCAGTGGATTATTGTGGAATCAAAGCGGAGGCTGAACAGCACGTTGCGTCTCATGTCGCAGCTGTACAACTTGGACGTGGCGCCCAACCCATGCAATCTATTCACTGCCATGCCTCTCCCGGCAAGCAAACTGCTATGGAAAGCATCAAGCGAGCAAGGATGGGAGACGGAGATAGCTAGAGATGACTTTTATAAGAAGTTGAGTCTGCAGGATCTGATGAAGTTCAAGGGCAAGGGAGAGAGTGGCCAGCCCAGCAGAGAGGAATGGAGCAGATGGTATTCAGGAACGGATGAGCTAGGAATACTGGTTGTTATCTCCGCTAGTTTATTATAAATCAAGCCTGCTGGCTTTGGATTTACCCAGGGATCAACGTACGCTAAGGCCAATTAGTGTTCAGGAAGAGATTCAATGTCACGGAGTTCCGTGTCACTCTCGACGACCCACTCCGCCTGCCTCAGCAACGCCATGAAAGAAATCAAGTATAAGTAGAAGACCAAGCCATTACTTTATGAAGCTCCTTTCATAACCATCTGAGTAGCTAAACAAAGAACATAACTTGAAAGACAACCTCTCATAAGCCCACGCCGCTCCATCATGCCTCCTTTCCCCTCGCTTACCAAAATATGGCACACGGACAGCTATCCGGCCATCTCGCCCACGAGGCCTGAACTCTCGGCTGCCAATAAGACAGTGGTTGTAACTGGCGGAGTAAGTAACTGAACTTTGTTTAATATAGCGCGTCCGATCGAGACATCTTCGTTTATGCCCCCAGGCGAATCTCACACTCTTGAAACAGGGGACCGGAATCGGTGCAAGCATCGCCCGGTCTTTCGCCATCGCAGGGTCAAAGAAGATCGCCATCATCGGTCGCCGCCCAAAGCCCCTCGAAGATACTGCACGCAAGCTCCAGGCAGACTTCCCCGAGCTCAAGGTTTTCGTGCAGTCGGCAGACATTACAAACCAAGAGCAGGTCAATCGTGCCTTTGACGCCATCGTCAAAGAGTTTGGCCCCATCGACGTACTCTCCAGCAACGCCGGCGTAGTTTCCGGCGCCGGAACAATCAACGAGCTCGATGTAGACGAAGCGTGGAAGACTTTCGAAACTATCGTCAAGGGCAACCTCCTGGTTGCTCGGGCTTTCAGTCGCGTCGCCTCGAAGAAGGGCGCTGTGGTCGTCCACACGGCCTCGGTTTGCGCCGCCCTACGCGCTTTCCCAGGGGCCGTCGCCTACACGGCCAGCAAACTTGCTGCGACCAAGATTTGGGACTATTTTGGTGTCGAGAACCCTGGGATTCGGGTCGTGAGCATCCAGCCGGGGCAAATCCAAACCACCATGGCGGATGAACTTGGCATCAAGATGCCGGACAGTGGTACGTGTACCAGGCTGCTGTGGATGACTATGCATGGGCTAACCTGTTATAGTTGACCTTCCCGGACACTTTGCGGTTTGGCTTGCGAGCCCCGAGGCCCAGTTTCTCAATGGGAAGTTTGTGTATTCAAACTGGGACGTCGAAGAACTGCTCGCCAGGAAGACTGAGTTTGAAACTACGGAACTGGGAACGATCAAGTATGATGGGCTACCATCTGCCTAGAGTCAGATGGACAATTAGTCAGTGGTGGTAGCATCAACGACTTGTAGTGTTGTAACTATGGGAAATATCATAGTGACGGAAGGCTCGTTTCCTTTACTTATATTTCCTAGAAAAGAGCAAAAATGCAACCCTGGAATGTCTCATTCGAGTCACCATTGTTACGTTAGTTAATGCTCGGACAACTGTCTACAGCCTAAAGCACCTTTTGAGTGCACTCTGGGCCCAAGTAGAAACATTAGGGGAGGGGGGGGAATTGCTAATGGCGGCCCTTCCTTATTTGTGAGAACTGTTGTCAAATTGAATATTAAAATAGGGGCCGCTGTACGACTGTTGATTACCAACTGGTATTAGAAGAAGAAGGGTCATGATTCAAACGTCAGCCCCTTGCTGATTGTACTGCTAAACTCGCGTCTAAGTCAGCCTCCTGTTTAACTTAACCAGATCCTCGGGGAGCTAAATCACGCCAAGGGTTACCTGTTTCGGGAATTTTCATCCCGCAGTACTCTAAATTAACATTTTCGGAGAATTTGAACAATCTGCAATACTGTATGTAGAGTCTTGGCCCGAGGAGGCTGTGCTATGGCTCTGAATTGGGCTGACGTTGGATGCTTCTCCGCGGATTTCGTCAATCTGGGCCGCGGACGAGAATCAAGCTTATCTGCGAGTTCCACTTGCTAGATCTCCCCTCAAGAATGCTATAAGAATGATCGAGGATCGGAATATTGGATATCTCCAAATCGAAAAAACAACTCAACTAGTTCTACAGCGCACAGGAAATTCAAACAACGCAACGATGCTCCGAAAGCTAACCCATCTCCTCTCTATGGGACTTTTGTCCTTGGCGGCTGGTAAGTCTTGAACATGTTTTAGATTGAGGATTCCGCAACCTGAAAATACTGACCTTCGAAGCCCAAAATACCAATTCAACCGGTCCCCTGAATGAAACCCAAATCCAACAGGAGCTGCTGAACATAGCCGGCGCGTTTCGACAATGGCCCGAGGCGCCCCTCTTTCACTGGCCCGAAGAAGAAGGCCTGCAATACGAGAGTGTCACATTCCAATCCGAGGACGGGGTCCCTCTGGAGGGTTGGTTTTTCCCACGCGAGGGATCGGACAAGATTCTCCTGATGAACCATCCTCGACTATTCAACCGCGCGGGCTTGCCTTCGCACATGGAGCCCTGGGCGACTTTGACAGCTCCGTCAGGTAACAACATCGATGTCAACTTCATCCCTGACTATAAAATTCTCCATGATGCTGGGTACAATATCCTCACCCACGACTTCCGCAACTACGGTCTCAGTGGACGAGCCAACGGCGTGCTCTACTCCGGAGGACGCTACGAGTCCCGAGATGTCATTGGGGCCCTTCGTTATATCCGTAGCCGCCCAGACACCAAGAACATGACACTCGGCTTGTTCCCCCGCTGCATGGGCGGCAACGCCGTCTTCCACGCCATGTCTAGGCTGCCTCAGGAGTTCGAAGGTATCCGTGTCATCGTCACGCCTCAGCCCATCTCAGCCAACATGTCAACCCGCGTGGACCTGGCCAACCGTGGAATCCCTGCCAGCTACATCAAGGACTTGGACGATATGGTCTTCTGGCGCACAAGCCTCCACCTCGACCAGTACTCTCCCATCCCTGCAGCCAGAAGCGTGACGATCCCGACATTCATCTATCAGGTCCGAAACGACCTGCAGACCAGGCCGGATGACGTCCAGGCCATCTTTGACGCCATCCCCATTCCCGAGAAGAAGCTTGTCTGGATCGAGAACACCACTCGTCGCTGGGACGGTTATCTCTACTTTCAACGACAGCCGCAGGAGATGCTGGAATGGCTGGAGAGGTACATGAACTAAGCTCACGGGGTTTCCTTGGTTCAAAAATGGATCGTTGATTGTGTTTGTTCTGTTTCCAATTTCTAGACAACTGACCCCTCTAAATTTCATTTTTGCAAAACGACCCTCAGCATCCCCATAGACTTTCTTCATCTTCACTCCTGTATAATATAGAAATGCCTCTCAGCCTCAAATTGCCCAGGTCTACCTAGTTTCCTTTCTAGTCTATATAGAGTCTCAATTTAATAAACCAATCTATAATCCCGCAGTACTTGTACACTATTACCAATTTACAACTTCGACTTTGGCCCCTTGCGGAACAGGACCGGTGAATCCGGGTAGGGATCGATGACGACGTCATTGAGCGGGTTCTCCTGCGACGCCCTGTGGAACATGTCCTCGTAGACCTTGCCATCATACCGCCCGAGAGAGCTGTCAAGCTGCCAATCGGGGAACTTCCACGAGTCGACGAGCCTGACAGCGTGGGGCCGGACCTCGTGGAGGAGCGCCAGCGTCCTCTTCGTGCGCGCGAGCTGGATCTGGCGCACGGTGGTGGCGCCCGAGGTGAAGAACTCGGACGCGTGGGACTGCAGGTGGTGCAAGGCGAAGAGCTGGAACAGCTTGCGGATGAGGGCGAGGGTGTTGGCGTCGAGGGCCGACTTGGTCTGCTCGCTCTGCAGGGCCTCGTAGAAGTACTTGACGACGAGGTACTGGGAGTAGGCGGTGGAGAGGCGCCAGAAGTCGATGAGCAGGTCGTTCCAGGGTCTCTTCTCCTCGTCCCTGTGCTTGAGGGCCTCGAAGGTGAGGTAGGCCACGCGCCAGGCAAAGGCGTGGACGAGGTCCTCGTCGTTCTCGAGGATGTCGAATGCCGCGCCGATGTCCTGTCTGCGGATGTACTCCTTCAGGATCTGGCTGATGCTGTTATCGGGAGCCTTGCCTGAGAGCACGGCGCGGGCAGACTTGAGCAGGTAGCGGCTGACTTGCTGGGTGAGCATGTAGTTGTCGCCCTCCCACGTGACGGTGGGGAGGTAGTCGGCATACCAGGTGCCGATACCCGAGAAGGCAGAGTATCCGTGACCGCCACAAGCACGGCGACATACCTCGAGCCCCTCGGCGGCGGTGGTCGAGGCAAAGGCCTTGAGCGCGCAAGAGATGGCGTGGAGGTCAGCCAAGAGGTCGCTGCTGGGGCTGAGCTCTTCTGGGCCGGCGCCTCTGTTTGTGTCCTTGGTGAGACGCTGCTGGCTCATGCGCTTCTGGTTTGCGTTGTAGATGTCGAACATGGCGCGGCCGGTGAAGTGCAGCGCGTACGAGGCTGCCAGCAGAGGCAGGATGCGATGCTGGACCATGGTGTAATTGAGGACCTGGTTCTCGCCCTTACCGTCCTCGGCATCGTGATCTTGGAACTGGCGACGAACAGCACAGTAGCGAGTTGCGATGGTCACGCCCCTGGCGAGCACGGAGCCTGACTGGAGGACAATTGAGGAACGAATGAAGGTCAATGTACCGTACACGAGTGCTGGGTTTGCTGGCCTGAGATACTTTCCGGTGTTTGCGTCCACGCCGGAGAATCTACTAAGCAGATTGACATGGGGGACCTTGACGTGGTTGAAAAGGAGGAAGCCATTGTCCATGGTGTTGTACCCGAACTTTGGGCCGATATCTCCGACATGGATATCGGGCAGAGCCTCATGGGTTTTGAAATCCCTGATCTGGACGATGAAGGGATGAGGGCCGTAAGACTTTCCATTCAGGATCAGCTGGGCAACCACTACAGCGTGGTTGGCCGCCTTTCCGAGCGATCCGATCCACCACTTGGAAGCGGTCAGGTGCGGCGAGTGCAGTGTGAATGTCTTGTCCTCTGGATTCCAGGTGGCAGTTGTTTCAAGCCCTCGGACGTTGGATCCGTGGCCCAGCTCGGTCTGCGCGTAGCAGCCGATGATCTCGTACTTCTCGGCGCGCTTGAGGAAGAGCTCATGCTGCTGGGGAGTTCCCTGCTCCTTGAGGGTCTTCAGGAACATGGCATCGTGCAGGCCATATGGCGTAGGCTCGCTGATGAGCTCATTGGCAGCGTAGTACTCCTCTTCACTCCATTGGTGCTTGACAGAGAGCTGTCTCAGTGCCTTGGCCCGTCCCAGGGCAGCTTCAAGCCTCTCGGTCCTGCCGCGGAAGTAGTTCTGGGACTTGTCGAAAACTGGGTCGCTCTGCAGAATCTCTAGAATCTTGGCTCTCCGATTGAGCACTTCATCGGTGAAGAGGAACGTGGCAAGCTGGTCGACGTTGATGTCAGAACGCGCCCGTTCCTGTTCCAGGAGCTCCGAGCCTTGGGGGCCCGAAGGCTTCAGGGCTTTGACCCAGTCCGGGTTTGGGGCAGGCATTTGATGCGATGCTGAGTACCTGTGAGGGAAATTGCCTTCAAATTGTAAGAAAATCAAGGCCAGACGCGTGAGTAACGAGACAATGGCAGTGAAGTGAAAGGGGCGAGATCGGTGGGAATGAGGATGGATTTGAAGGCCCAGATCCACGTCATTTGTCCCTGAGGCATGCAACCGAGCAATGAAAAGAAACATGGATCCGCTACGCAGTTGCCGAGGTAATTTCCAAGACACTAGCGCAATGTTGAGTTTAGCATCATCATCATTCCCCAGATGACAAAGGTGTGGACCTCGTGATGGATCATGCGCGAGTTGTTGGGATCCGCTTGACCAGGGCTCTGCATTATCAGATGGAATTGACGACCCCTGTTCTGCCAAATCCTGCACCTAAATCGAACTCCGATGTCCGGTCGGTCTGGCTAGAATCCAGAACTCGCCGCTGATGGGGCACTTCCCCATATCTCTCCCAGACTACCCCATCACTAGCCAAGCTCTTAGTCGGCTTCCTCTGCTTTGCATGTGATACCAAGGCGTGCTCGTGATTTTGAGGCTTGGGGCAAACTTCTGGCTCACTACCCCAGACTCATCATCACGAGGATATCAGTTCCTTGCGGGTTAGCAACAATCTGTCTTTTCCAGTGGAGCAAAAATCTCACTCAAATTTCCTTGAGACACCCCTATTATGGCAGACTACCCGGGACTTCCGGTATCTTTGATTTTCCTACTCTTTCATGAGCACTGGACATGGCCTTCTTTGTCTAAAGTCTGTACACTCTACTAAAGTTTAGCTTAGCCTCGTGCTTAATTGGAGTTTGCATCATCGAAAATCTCTCTGCACTCCGATTTCTGACAAATTTGTGAACCCCACATAAAAGTTTATGTCTGATCCTGTTTGCAAGATCCTCTTTAGAGAAAAACAGTTGCTCTAAAAGTCTCAGCTTCTCAACATAGGCCATCTTCAAAAATTGATTGATTATCTCTTAATTGTTAGGATCAGGTTAAAGCACAAAATACAACTTAGTCAAGGGTTCTCTAATGAACGAGGGCTGAACCTTCAAGATTCATATAGTTCTATGAGTTGCGTTGAAGTCTATAGCTTATGTAAACTTGAACATATGAGTTCATTTCCTCTTTGAACTTGCAAGGGAGCTCCAGTCTGTAGCATTGTCTTGGAAAGTACATGCTAACTACCCGGGACGAGGTGCACCGTATACTAGCAAATTAGCCTAATAAGAGTCAATTGCGCCTGAAAAAAAGGATAAACAAATCTATGCTGTCCATAAAATTCGTTATGGCAGTATGATATTTGTGATGCGCCGTGGTTCCGTGTTTAGCCTAATTCTCACGAAAAAGGGGCAACCAAGTCTAAAAGACTCGCCTATGTAAGGGTATAAAATCCAAGGAAGATTGGAACTGGATATATCCAAAGAGAGAACGCGACTTGGAGATTCCCTTGTAGTGAGTGGTAAGAACTTGCTCACTTGCAGCCCTATATAAGGCACTAGTTCCCATCACCGTATTGGTATATACGGCTCTATGAGGTATCCTCCGTTATCTGTGCTCGCCTCTGCCGGCGCAATTGCATTACACCTTGTCCTGGGGGCTACGGCAGCTTGTTCAAATACAACAGAATGGGTAACGATTTGGGGGGCCATGCCCCAACTGACAGAGCCTGCCAACTTACCACCCGCTCCATTTGTAAGTTTCTTAAAGAGACCTAAACAACTCAAGAACTCATGGGCTGATGATATTAGAACTCTACTGGACTGGTGTTTGATGATACTACTATTCGTCAGACTGTGAAGCTGTCTTTGGATACGGATGTTATCCGGCTCGAGATTAGCAACGTATTCGGTGGCTCCGATTTGCCCATCACAGCTGCCACAGTTGCAATACCTGCCAACCAGACAGCGGGCATAAAAACAATCCAGACGGACACGACTCAGGCACTGACCTTTTCGGGAAGCCAATCATTCATTGTTCCGAACGGCGCCTCTGTTTTATCTGACCCCATACACATGCCGGTTGCTGCGCAATCGATTCTCTCTATCAGCATCTATCTGGAAAACGGTCAAATAACGAATGACATCACGTCCCACCCAGGTAGCCGCACGACTTCCTTTTTTGCCAAAGGGAATCATCTCGAGAGCCTGGATTTTGAGGCAGAGACAGCGGGCTCTGCCGATCATTGGTACTTTATTAGTGCAGTAGAAGGACTTATTCCAGGAACCGCTTCAACCCTTGTCATTGTTGGTGACTCGATAACTGATGGGCGTGGGTCTACAACCAATGGCAACGACCGTTGGCCAGATCAGCTCCTTGTTCGCCTCTCCGAAAATCCCGCTACTCGATCCACGGCTATCTTGAACCAGGCCGCTGGAGGAAACCGTGTCTTGAACGACGGTCTTGGCCCTAACGCGCTTGGGCGTATTGACCGTGACGTTATATCACACCCAGGTGTCCGCCACGCGATCATCTTCGAAGGCGTCAATGATATAGGGACAGCGGGCACCGATGAAGCAACTCAATCTGTGGTTGGAGACCGCTTGATCCAAGCCTACGATCAGATAGTCCAGCGTCTGCACCGGCATAACGTGATAGTCATTGGGGCGACGATCACCCCGATGACAGGAACTGGCCAGGTTTACGGACACCCCAACCGTGAGGCTACCAGACAGCGAGTCAATAAATGGATTCGAGAGGCGGGTGTCTTTGATACTGTGATTGATTTTGACGAGG